GGCAGTTCCAGAAAGAGCCGCTACTGTTGAACATGCTAGTTGCCTGGGTGTCTTTGGCTTCACAGTCCTAGACCAAGCATGCAGTAAGGTCCCAACCCTAAACTGCATAGTTATTCTAGGTCAATGAAAGTGTATTGAAGCCAAGAGATCAACAGGACAGTCTAGCAACTAGCATTTGTAGGAGAGAACAGAATTAGCAGCCAACATACTTCTGCCACAGCAGGTTTCCTTTACAACCAGTGGGTGTATCCACAAATGCAGTGGAAAGTACAACTGCACAAGGTGCAACAACACTTTAGTAGCCAGATTTACAGCATGGTTTTGTTTTTCTTTTTATCTGGCAGCAGTAAATGGAAATCCAGCTGGCTCTTCTGCTTATAATAACTGTGCTTTATATCAGTAAGTCAATATGGAAGCATCTGGCTTGAAATGCATCCAGGGAACAGAGAATACCTGTCCAAGGCTTTTGTCATAAACACCAGATTCCCATTTCTAAATACTTCCTTCAGCTGCTTATTTAATTTAGAAGAAAGTATACTGGGCATTCTCAGTCTTGTACAATATTGTATTCATTTTCCGAGTAACAAGAACGTGTCATCATGTTCATGCCCCCCTTCCAGCTCTTGTTTCGATTCCATCCTCCACTCCTAGATGCTGCTCATTACTCACCCCCACCCCACCACACACTTTGGTTGATACCTTGCGCCCTCTGTTGTCATGCCCTGCCATTGGTGCGTGTTAAGCCCTAAATGAAGCTCCCTGTTCCGACTAAAACTTCTGCAATCCCACCTAGAAGCAATGGCAGCAGGAATGGAACAATGCCTTAAAGTATATGTATAAAAGATCCTTGAATACCATTAGCACATCACTGATTGACTGATCTTGCTCAATGTGTGTTGCTGCTTTAGAAAAAAAAGATGTGGATCCTGTATTCACCTCTGTCTAAGCTATGAAATGGTGGAAGCCCTTAATAATCACAATGCAGCCAATGTGTACTGCATGCGTTGGTCAGTGCAGACATTGTGAATTTCTGACCAGGGCTCAAATCAAACTTGTGGTCCCACGGGTTGACACACATGCAGTGTCTGCCCTGTTTCAATTAGGTCTAATAGCCAAAAGGTAAGTAGTAAGCGTGACAGTTTACATACACCAAATTTGATAACGGCATGCAATCACTGTGGCATCATTTCGATAAGCTTATGCAATGTTGCAACATTTATTTCCGCCCAGAGTTGTATTCATTTTTTCACCAAGATCTTGTAGTGATGATGCGAGTGAGACCACTGCGTAAAGTCTTCTTCAGAACATCCCAAAGATTCTCAATGGGGTTAAGGTCTGGACTCTGGGGTGGTCAATCCATGTGTGACAATGATGTCTCATTCTCTCCGAACCACTTTCACAATATGAGCCCTATGAATCCTGGCATTGTCATCTTGGAACATGCCCATGCCATCAGTGAAAGAAAATATCCATTGATGGAACATGATCATTCAGTATATTCAGGTAGGAGAAGAGAGAAGGCAGGAGCGAGGAAGTAGGAGAGAGGAGGAGGAGTGCCTTGCTGTGTGTTTGTGGAGACACACAAGGCATACTAGCACACACAAGGGTAGCTTCACAGGACCCTGCAAGGAAAAAAGCCCCTAAAACAGGATACTCAAGGCACCAGCCGATTCTGCAGCAAATTAAACCCTTTAAACATCTATTTAAATAGTTTAAAAACATTTTGACTTTAATATCACTTTAAACATCCCTTTGGGTGAAATGGCCCTGTAAATAAAAGATATTAGACACTAAGTTTAAACAATCTACATCTGTCCTTTACAGAACACACATATACTCCATTGCAGCCCCTTTCAATCTTTATTCCTAAAAATAAATTAATACTGCGAAAAAGAGAATGTCAGTGATTTAAGATTAGTTGGAGAGCAGACACAGGCCAGTGAACCCATAATGCTCTATAAACACATTGGCATGCTTCGGTAGTCACAAACAGCAAACAAACGGAATACTAATAACACAGACTAATGATTATAGCTCCCCTGGAACAATCAGGAAGGTCGTTTTAGGAAAACTCTTTATGAAGAAAAATCTAAAATCATCTCCATAGCAGAGCTCATACAAAACACAAACCGGCCAGGGCAATGAGAACCTCAGCAACAATCTAATGAGACTTCAGAGAGGGGGAATAAAAGGGCCAGGAGTTACGTCACCTCAGTGCTGCCCATATCTCGGACCATGAAATGACACATTGTGCTCCACTGTTACCTCCCAAATGAGAAAAATAAAAAGCCAGTCATCCATGAGCTTAATAAACCAGGAATGGTGGAGAGGAGACAGGAAGGTTAAAAACTGTCAGGGAGGAGAAGCAGTACCTTGTATCACTGGTATGTAATGAACGTGAACTCTAACGGATCTGGTGAAGGGCGACTCCGCTTGTATACATTTTTTCAATATTTTTTTTTGGTTTTGTTTTACAATACATTGTAATATTCAAGTACATCGGAGGAATATATTCGTAGGGTGATAACAACATGAATCAAGGTATTGTCTTCTACCTTATGGGCACTGCTGCCTAAGGGGCAATGTAAACGGAATCAGTGTTTAGCAGTTGCCAGTAATGTGTTTTTAAACCAAAGATCCAGTATGACAGCTTGTAAGCTGGATCTAACAAAATTGAAAATAAGTGGGACGTAAGGGGACAAACATTTTCCCTCAGCCTTACGCCGGAGGGGGAGAGGGTCAGGGAGGGGGAGAAGCAGGATAGAGAGGGGAATAGAGTACAGTAGAATAGCAGAGGTGGGAGTGAGACCAGGTAGGGGTGGTTATACATTTTTATCTAAGATGATGTTCTAATCCAGGATATCAAAATAAGAAACCCTGTAAGCACGATTTAATACTTATTTTGTTCAATTACCGTGGTAAAGGGACTTGATATTTTATACTGATTAATAAAATTGACATTTAGTACATTTATACACTACACACTTGTATGTTTATAATACCTAGGTACAATCACAATTTTGATATTAACTATGGTCTCCCATTAAAAAAACCTATTCTGTACTTCTGGCTTCGGCTTGTAATCCGGTTTTTCTTTGGCTTTGACTTCTGTTCTTGTATATCTGTATGTGTACCCTTTGGTGAAGACTCTGTCCCAAACTGTACTGGGATTCTATGAGTGGTTATCTAGTTATGCATTTATGTGGGACACATCCTGAAAGCGGTCCTGCCACACATGTCCACCTGCACCTTATAGAGCGTGACTTACTCCTGTTAGGACCCTGTACCTGCTCTCCTGCGTGTCTGCACTGTGTTCAGGTTTTTGTTCCTGCTCTATCCTGTATTCACACTATGCTTCTTTCATCAGACCTCTTCGCCCTCGGAATTCCCAAAACCCCCAGCCAACAGTCCCTTGTTGCCATGGCACACAATGAATTAAGTGTACTCAGCTTTGGAAACATCTACAACTCGACAGATCTGCCCCCCGCCCCCGAAGACTACATTTGGGAACCACTGGTCCATATAGGTGAATAAAGTAAACTTAAGCAATACAAAACAATATATACGATACAAGTAAAAGCAGGCTGCCCCAATGCATGACACTCCAATGTACATGCCAAGCACACTGCAACGTATTCCTATCTGCTGCCTGCAGTGATAGTTTGGGGCAGGAGTGGCTTTTAAGGAGTAGCGCACAACTATTAATATTCTGACAGTCACTCATTAGTGTGCAGGGTTGCTGTGTAGAAAATTAGCTCCAATTAGACAACACCAGTACTTTCAGGATGCTGAAGACTGAATTAATTTGACTTAATCCCCAGGTATTATCGTACCATCACACAAGTAATCAAAAACAGCATATCATTATTAAGAGACAGCATTGTCGCTTAATATTGCATTTACCTGCTCGAAAAGAGACCTTCAGAAAATATCATGGGAAGCCATTTCATTTTGATGTGAATTACTGTACCAATAATGCCCACACAAAATATTATAGGCTACAATGAAGATAAAGACTGAATTAGAACTACAGAGGTAAGCCAGTCAATAAACTGCTGTGGCTTACTGTGACCAGAATTTGGAATGCTGTGAGTTGCCCCAATGCCTATGTGTGCGGAGACTGAGGCCAGGCTACAAGATTATCCTGCACTCCCTTATACAAGTTAACAGGCCTTTAGAAATCTGTCAACATTACTGACACAAGACTTGGCTTCCTAAAATTTCCTTTCATTGAAAACAAAACTTTCAAGGCTTAGATGCCAATCAGAATGAGAATCCCTTAGAAAAAAATCTATTATTAGGATACCGGCTATCCATTATAGGTCAGGAACCAATCCAACGCTGGAAACTGCTACTGGCTGACCTTTGGCAGTATTGCTAGTTCCAGGGCAAAGCAAGTCGCCGTGTCCGATATTGGGCGGACATCTGAAGTATTGCTAGTGCCAGGGCAAAGCATGTCATCACGTCTAATGCAGGTGAATGAACTGAACTGCATTAGCGTGATGACATCAGCGGGGTTTAGAGCGCCAGAGCTCAGAGGAGTGGGGCAAGTCTAGCAGGCTGGTGGGTTTGAGGATTGGGTGAGTATACATTTTTTATTTGAGCCCCTAAAGAAAAACCAACAGATAACCCTTGGTAGCCCCACTGCAAGGGTTACCTTTTTACATTCTTTGAGCATTAAAGTGTATCTAAACCAAAATGACAAAAATTTAATATATTGCAGCTTGCCAGTCCTAGCATCTGACGGCTGCATTAGTTTTTTTTTCAGGCTTCCTTTCCTCCTTTATTTTCACCTGGTGATCTAGTAAGTAAAGCACTTCCTGTCCTGAAAGGACAACGCTCACTCACCCTATTGTATCTATGGAGGAGCAGCGTTGTCACCATAAGGCTGGAAGTGTGTTAGGACAACTCCCCTTCTCTTTACCTCCAGATCAGAGGTAGAAGGTGTTTTGTAGTTCATGTCAAAAGGCAAATAGTAGAACACAGGACCTTCAACTTGCCTGATTTTTCTTAGCAATGTGTGGAAAGGGCGAAAGAGTTCCGACATGTCTTCTGCTTTGCGTTCGAGGTTTAGAGGTCCTTCAGAGTAAACAACAAGCCCACTGTAAACAAAACAAGAGACAAAAAGCAATTCAGCATATTATCATTAACATTACAACATTTAGACTTCAGCAAACAGCACATTAAAAAAGAAAATTTTAATGCTTTGGGGAGTAATTTTTTTAAATGTATACAGTCTTTGTATTACATATGTTACAAAAAAAAAAAAAAAGAACTCCCCAAGGCACTATGTGCTCTCCAAGAACACAGATTAGCAGTTGAAACCAGTCCTGTGGCTGCCTTTATCGGACACCTCCAACTGAGTCATGCCAGAGATATATCTAACTATATCTCAGGTCTGGGAGTAAACTGCAGGTCAGCTGGAGCAGAAGATAACATCTCAACATGTTATATGGAGCCGAGCACTTCACCTGCTGGCTAATAACACAAAACAAAGAAAAATTGTATAGTAATATTTTATTTTTGCCCTAAACATATTAAAAATTATATGTACAAAATAACTATACATTTCCTATAAGGTGCCTAAATCCTTCAAAGGTCACACTGGTTGATATGGGTACACTTTAAAACTTCTCACTTTTTAGGTTAAAAGTACAAAAAATAAAATTAATAATAATAAAGCAGTGCAATTCTTTTTACTGAACAGAAAATTGCCTTTACTTACCACACAATGGCTAGTCGAGGGATTGTAAACATTAATGCTGGTTCATAATCATCAATCATGTCTTGTGTGAGGTATCCAAGCTTTAAGGCTCTGTGAAGAGGGATTTGCAGAATTAAGCATCATAAAATTTAGGCGACATTACTGCTAGACAAACATACTCTCATTTAGCTACGAGCATTGAACAACTCCAAGCAAGTCAAGTCAATAAGTGGGTGGATAATGCCAGCGAGAAAACGCTGCAACTGTGCTCAAGTCCACTATAGTTACTTCTAATTTGTTTAATATAATTTAAGAGATAGCAGATTCTCTACTATGGCAATGCAGCCTCTTGTCAGACAATAAGACAAGCACCCTCACTTACATGTAATGAGCTGAGAGAGAAGGCGGAGCTTTTACCAGGGAACACATCAATCTGCATTTCCACAAGTTAAAAGGAGGAACTTTACCCTCATATTTAAAATTACAACAAAAAGGTATCTTTAGAATCTACAAACAGATACTTAAAGATAATTGCTGGCTTTTTAGCCTTTTCTTTTCCTCCCCATTCTTCTAAAAGTGGCAATTTTTACTAAGGGCAGATGAATCCATCTCTCTTTACTTCCTGGAACTCTGGCACATGCGACTAGGACATGTAAGCATGCACATCTCAGGGGAGGAAAATGCCTTTCTCTGAGATTTTGCAATTTACAGATAAGATTTCCCAGCAATGCTCTGTGATGTTACCTTCCCAGGATACATCTCTTAGGCATAGACTACATTACTAATGCCTATGAGGACCAGGAAGTGGAAAAAGTCATTGTAAGTAAAAAAAATTAATATATTTAACTAGTAAACTTAAGATGATTTGTAAGAGCTGAATGCGGTTATGATTTTTAGTAAAGGGGGGTAAAGATTTACTCTAGGAGGACAGGATTTCAGCCAGTTATATATGATGGATGTCAGGTCCAGTGGACATGATGCTATGACTTACTGTAAATATGTTGTTAATCAGTTTGACTGGGGGTAGTAGGCACGTGACTGCAACCTGAGCTGTGACCCACAGGTATAAAATATGTTGCAATGGTAAACAAGGGGTGCTTGCTTGGGGCCAAAATCGAATTTTGTAGTAAGTGGCCATTTCCCTTGCCGGCAGCCCCCTGGGATAGAATTGAGTGCTTCTGTAAAAAGGATTTCTACCAATGTTCTCCTTTCTATTTTTGCTCGGTTTGTACAGACATTCCTCGCTTACTGACTTACCTGCTTTGAGACCACTCGCACTTACGACCGACCTCCGACCTTGCGTGCCAGCGTCAGTGCGACGTGTCGCCGGCGGAAGTGATGTCCTCCGTTCTTCACTGCGGGTCCCGGTAAGTATTTTGTTGCCCGATGTACAGTACACTGTTCGGTACTGTACATCTGCAACCCTATACAGTACATTACTGTATAGAGTTCCTCACTAAACAACCAATCGGTTTAACGACCTGGTCGTAGAACGGAACTAGGTCGTTAAGTGAGGAATACCTGTATTGTGTAACTGTCTTATGTAACAACTAATTGAAAATATATGCACTGTGAATACTTTTTCCTTCATAAGAAATCATTACGTCCCTGCCTTTGTCTGGTATAAGAACCACATATGTTCCTGAGGAGGCTTTTTTAATAATTCTATACCTTATACACGTTTGGCTAAATTTAAGTTTTGGGGTCTTTGCAAGTTATTCTTGGTATTATACACTAAATTAGGAATTTAATGCTTAACCAGGTTTAGTTTGGTGGCAGCAATCTTTAGATTAGACGGAGTGGGTGGTGTGTAAGACCTTTCATTATGATTTCCCAGTCTAGTGAAAACAGAGTGATTTTACAACCCTCTTACCACTGAAATAAGACACGCGGCCACTTGGAGTAGTGTGCATACAGATACCAAGACATCTAAAAGCCCTTCATTGATTGGGTTTGTATCAGTGTATGGCAAATAGATCAGGTCAAAATATTTATTGTGGACAGGAACACAGTCGGGAAAAAGGTCAGGGAGATCTTCCTGTTGCAGTATCTATGACTTACAAGACACTGGGGACTGAATCAGCCCACCAGGGACAGTCTATTAAAAAATAAATCCCTTTTTCACGGAGCGTTCCTTTAAATAAGCCGGAATTTAAAGCAACGCTATGCAGTGTAATAGACTTCTGTCACAAGCCAGAATGATGTCTCCACTGAGAGCACCAGATAATGCTCAGTTTCTGCAGCCAAAGCTCTGTACAACTTAAGGAGGATTACATTTCTCTTCTTTGAATGGACAATCTACTACAATGTGTAACACACAAAGCATGAAAATGTAAATCAGCTTTTCTGCCAGGAAATAATTCAATTACCATGACATCATAAACTTCCACAGAGACGGATTTGATAAATCTGCAGGTCAGTGCGGTGCGTCCGATAATACCGTTTTACATTTGGACGCCTTTGATTTTATTCTTTAACAGAGGGAAATTTTAATTAATGGCTTACGTTGGGAGATCAGCGGTGACGGCTCAAGATATTCTGTGATCGACATGCTGGAAATACTTTCGGAATTTCATTTGACACAAGCAAATTCTCAGTACATTAATGTATGACCCTGGCTGGATTCTCAGTGGTCCTGAATAACACAGGGGTGTTAAAGTAGAACTGCTATAAAAGGATGTACTTTCTCTGTGCTCTGATACAATTTCACTCAGCTCTGTAAATATGCACTTCCTTGTGTCACCTCTCTCACGGAGCCTGCTTACTGAACTACAACTCAACGTCTGAACTATGTAACATTACCATTGCTTGCTGGAAGAAATGGAGAATGTGAAAAATGGAGATTGCATCACATCGACAAGCATGAAAGGAGATGCAACAAACTGGGAATCCAGAAAGTTGATTAATGTGATGGGCAGGTAGAAGGCAACACTACATAAAGGGATTTTTTCAAGTAAGCTTTGACTACATCAGAAACAACTCTACTATGTATTCCTATTAGGTATGCATCGATACTAGTATTGGTGCAAATACCAGGTATTTGGGCGAGTACTCGCACGAATGCTCCGATACCTTTCCCGATACTGGAGATTCCCTCTGACCGGCAGTGCGGCGAGGGAACATGGAGCTGGGAAGCTGGCTCTATGCTGTTTGGCTGTCTCGATGCTGATTGACAATCAGTGTCCAGCCGGGCAAACAAATCTCATATGGCGACACGACCCCCAACCTGCAGACAAATCATTCCGCTCACATAGATCCTTAGCAGCAGTCATTACCGTACCAGTCCCTCGGCCAGTTGGGCAGACACCGCTGTCCAGGATCTGCCCACGTCTCCTGTGTGCACAGCGCCCGCGTGATCGGCCCTCAGCCTGCTGATGCGCATGCACAGGATTTCTGAATGAGCGCGCTGGGCAGTCTGTGCATGCGCAGTAGCAGGCCGATTATGTGGGCGCTATACACAGGAGACGTGGGCAGATCTGGGAGAGCGGCGTCTGCCCAGCTGGCCAAGGGGCTGGTACGGTAATGACTGCTGCTAAGGATCTATGTGAGGGGACTGGGTGCCTGCAGGGTGGGAGTCGTGTCACCATATTGTCAGATCTGTTTGGCCAGCCTCGATGCCAATTGGCTGGGAAGCTGGCTTCCCGGCCAATGAGCATCGAGTCGGCAAAACAGAACGGAGTCGGCTTCCTGGTCAATGAAGAAGCCGGGCAGATTACCCGGGAAGTTGGCTCTATGCTACTGGAAGTAACCATGCTGGGATTTTACTACTCCTTTAAGAGCTGTCCCTCGGAGGTACAAAGTTCACTTAACGGCCACCATCCCCAGATATACATATTCACCATCCTTTCATATGGCCTTCAGCACCATTTGGAAGCAAAATGGCGTACACAGGGCTGAGGACTCTCTTCCCACCCCCCCTTTGAAAGCTGAAAGGGTGTTTGAGCAGCCAGCCGCAAAGCACCATTGCGGTCACATGGAAAGAAATAGTCATGATCCCCCATATCTGGAAGTACAGGGTATCTTCACTGTCAGCAACCGGGGAGTATAGGAAAAGTGATGTGAATGTGAGCAGCGGGAAAGATGTGTGTGTTTGGGGGGATATAAATTAAGCAAATTAGTTACTTTGCCCTGCATGAGCAAAGCACAGTTTCACTTTAAAGCTAGGAAAGTCAGGAAATCACCAGCACTCAGTAGTAAAGATAAATATGTCCCTTTTATTGGACAAAGCGTCACAGACATCCAAATAAACCGACGTTTCGGGTCACATCTTTCTGCCATGAGGAAGGAACCCTGCGTGGCCCTGAAAAGTCGATTTGGATGTCTGACGCTTTCTGTCCAATAAAAAGGGACATATTTATCTTTACTACTGAGTGCTGGTGATTTCCTGACTTTCCTGTGTTTGCACGGCGCCATCCGTGGTAATTCATCACTGCGAGCAACACTTTTTTCTTATTTGGCCGGGACTGCTGTGAGGAGTGCGGAGGGTCTCTCCATCTACTCACTTTAAAGCTAAACTCCAGGCAAATGGGATAACATCCACTAGCATAGCAGCAGGCTTACCTTTATATAATGACCTTTTTCAAACCTAAAATCCCCATTAACTTGTGGGGCATCTTCAAAGTTTGCCTACAGGAGTGTCTGCCCACTGCCTTTTTTTCCTGTTGTGGAGACCGGTCACCTATGCCCGATTCCTTTTTTTTTAATATAGAATTTTATTGCCGTTTAATGCACAATTCAATACAATAGAAGGCAAACAGTTTCACAAAAACCATCCTCTCTATCATTCATTTAGCAAAGCATTGAAGGCTAAAAGGATGTTACACTTAGGGGTAAAGGAGAATGTCTAAGAGGGTCATATAACAGACACGAAAGCATAATTGGGAGCAGTGTATACACAGTTTATATAATTTGAATGGGGTATAGCATATTTAATAGAATAGTTTTAATTATATAATATTGGTCCTTCGAGGACATTACAAAAGGTACCATATGTGTCAAATTTCTCCTTATTCTCAACCAAGAGCTGCAGGTACTGAGTACATAATTTATCCTTGGCCTTTGCCTACTGTCTATTTGCTGGATGACCCAACCAACCACCCACGCAGTCAAGTCATTCTATTTTGGTTGCAGGGATGTCAAAGCTGCCTGGAGCAGGGATATTACATATGCCAATGCTAGCTCTTGCCTTCCTGTGTTATCCTTCACATTGCGTTGCCCATCCTTCTAAGCCTCCATCAACTGTTCAGGATCCTACTATTCCTAGCTTCCGAGGAGCTGAAGAAACAGTGTGAAGCTACAGAGCAGACTTGCATGGGCCTGCTTTGATCCTCTGAGCCAGGTCCTGTAGACCCTAGCTGCTTAGAAGCTCAGGACACTGAAAGCAAAATGCCATGGTTTGGTGGAGCAGACTTCCCATCTGCCTTGCTTTAACCCTCTCTGCTTCCCTGAACCTATATCCACTGATCAGCATCCTTCAGCACTAAGCTGTCTAGGAGCTCAGGACACTGAGAGTGTGAGATTTCAGTGGAGTAGACTTCCTGTTTGGTGTGCTGTTCCTCTCTCCAACCTCCCAAGCCTCGATCCTTGCTCAGTGTCTCAGTGTGAGGACAGTGTTTCTTTCTTTATTAAACTGCAGCCCATTTACCCTTAGCAGGAGATTAATTGGCCCCATTACTCTACTAGCCGATTTACATACAGAGATGACTGGTCTGCTTTTCCTTTGGCACTGCCGACACACAATCCCACCCTTAGCATTACATTGTAGTTCACTCCTCCAAGCTACCGAGCGAAGGATACTCTGTATACCTTGTAAAGTCTTCACAGGTTTATTAAAGATAAATAAGTCGTTATAGGTAACGGACCATTTAAAAAGATCTTTTACTGAATGCTCTGCACATGGGTAGGGTGGCAGGAGAATTTTATGCATGTCCCAGAGTTCAGCTTTAGGGTAAACACTTAAAACGTTTATGGGATCATTCTGAAAAAGGGTATACAGCATGTAAATAACACAGAAAGCATTTAGAGGGCAAAAAGGTTAAAACTTATTTCAGGTTTCCATTTCTGTCTGGAGAGAATTCCTTTTACTTCCTGTACAACTGACCACTGTGTCTGCAAAGTGAGGTAATGGAACACTGACAGGAAAGGAAATACAACAGAGATTGTAATTGTTTCCTACTTTAACATTAATGGGAACTAAAGTGCGCAGTACTTACCTCCACTCCAGTGATGCAACGTCCGGTAGCTCCCTCGCCACCGCTGACTTCTTGGTCAGCCAGGGACGACGCAACTCCAGCGCATGTGCAAGGAAGTGGATTCATCCCAGCACCAAGGCATGCCGAGATTGTGCACAGGTTTTTGGATGGAGTACTGGTTTAAATCTTTCTACCATAGTTGAAGTTACCCATTAGGCAATGCCCTCACCATTTTCCTTCAGAGAAGTCTTACCTTTCTACAGTTTCACAAAACAGGACAATTACTTCCTGTTGCACGTAGTACTCCTTTGGAGTTTTCACAGGGACCATTGCCGACACATAACTGCAATATGAGCAAAGAAATACAATAAGGACCTATTTTTTATGAAAGAGAACTTGCCATGCAAAAAAAAAAAGAAGGAGACACAGTTATTTCTATTCTTCATGTAGGTTTTCCCTGTGCTCCCAGGAGGGCCCCTGAACCCCTCAACACACTGTATGTAATCCTGAACTTAAGCTCAAAGTAAGAGCTTGGCTACACCACGCAACCCATGTTACGGTGAAAGTCAGAGTTGAGCTTGCATTGCACTCTGGGGTGCAGTTCGTGAGTCAACGAGTACAGAGGTTTAAAGGCTCCTAGATACATGGAAAACTATTTAGTGAGAACAATTATGCTATTATATAATGGATTCACTTTTTTATGTAGAATGTAGATAGAATGACAAAGAAAAAACACTCAGATGTATATGTATGAGGGAAGTTGATAAATCTACGTGTGGCCAAGCTATAAAGCATAATGAAAAGAACATAAAAGGTTTTGAAATATTTCACCTTAATTCAAACTCTGCAAAGAGAATATCAAAATGCCGAAGGGAGTCCTTAATTTTCTCTGTGTACATATTCAGATCCCTGAGGGCCTGGTCGCGGATGATGTTTCTGACCTCCTCCAGGCTTCTGGTAAGGTCTTTAGCCAGCGGTCTCATGGCCATGCTCTCTATTTCCCGGTTCATTATGATTGAGCCGGCAGCCAAACACTGCAGAGACAGACCGAAGTTAGTAGAAATCTTAGAGCTGAACACAGACAGACATATCAGATTTACGCAGATTAAATACACATATGGAAAAGGTTTAAACTAGCAAAGAATTTGCAATTTTGTGCATCAAGCAAGCCTACCACACCATACAGCCAGACCCTTGACCTCCATTCCAACAGCAGTCAAATGAAGTCAATAACAACAAAGCAGGACAAAACACCCCCCCAACCTGCTGACTGGAAAATAAATGAGCAATAGCATTAGCCCACTGATAAATGAGCAATAGCATTAGTTCACTGATAAGGACAACCCTTTGCTCCTGTCCACCTCAAATTACCTTTAACATGACAGAAGCGCAGAGGGGAGGCGATGGGACAGAGCTGCTTCGTCTGCATGGGTCTTCATGAATGTGCAGCACACTCCTACAAGCCTCTGTCACTCAATGAGAGGAGAGAAGAGTGGAGAGGATCCAGACAATATTATTGTTGGGATCGCTGCTCAGTACAGAGCTTAGCCCCACCCACAGTATATTACATAGAAAAGCAACTTATGGTAGAATTTTGATTACAGGAGTACATTGAAAACCACACTCCTCTATCATTAGGAAACTCAAAATGCAAAAAAAGTGTACAGAATAGTTCTCCTTTAACAAAAATGTATCTCATTTGTGCATCACTCGGCTGTAGATCCTCAAATCATCTCTGAATTGGTGCTGACACTGTCCTTCCTTCTGGAGTGTGACTACTTTTGTTGCCCATGGTCCCTGTGTGTGTTGCAAAGTAGTCACCGCACCAAGCTCACTCCTGTGATGACTACAATATCACGTTTAGTTTACCAATTTGTATTAAGATTGTAGTCCATCATGGGAGTGAGCTTGGAGTGGTAACTACGTTACAACACACACAGGGACAATGGGAAACAAAAGTAGCCTCCAGAAGGAAGGACAGTGTCAGCACCAATTCAGAGATGATTTGAGGATCTACAGCTGAGTGATCCACAAATAAGATAAATGTTAATAGCTAAGGTACTTGAATGTATTTTTAAGATTTAACTCGTGTTTGTCTTTTAATATTACCCTTTCCAATGATCCTGGAGCCACATTATGTAAAACGTACAGATGGTGCCTTCCTACCCCATCTCCCTCATTCACAGGATGCCATTCTCTAGACTACAGGTGCTATTCAGTGTGTTGCTGTGGGGAAGTGACAGGTCCTCCTTAAATTAAAATCACTCAAAGCAATAAAGAGCATATCTGAAGAAATGGGAACCGTGAGCAACATGATTTATTTAGCTTAGAAAAGAACCATCACACTTAAATGAGAGTTGTATTTCTTATATGTAACAGACTTGTACAGGCAGTAAAATACACACTTTATTGCATGAAATTACTGGGAGAAAAATATCAGAGCGGGAAGAGAGACATGAATTATTTATGTTCATGGTTTACAGTCACAGCAATTTTCTGGCTGTGTCTCTTGCTTTATTTCATCTTTAAAAGGGAATCCTTATATTTCTAGGGCTGTTGTAGGCTGGTGCAGACTTGGGCGATCTGAAACATGCGTCCCGAGAACGCACGATCGTGTGCAGTTGCACACAGCGGTTGCCGCGTGACCCCATTGATTTCAATGGAAACAGAGTTTCCCTTGCCAGCTGCCAGGAGCACTGCGTCTGTCCCACATGGTGCAAGTTGATGGAACGCCGTGCCTGTTTAAGGGCAGCCATCGTGGACTCACCAGGGGAGTCAGCGTAAGCTGCCACACAATTAGCCTCCTTATCTTGGAGCAATGTGAGGGTGGCACTTTGCTCCCTGCGAGCTGCCTTAATGCTAGAGATATACTCCCCCCTAGTTGTAGCTTTAAAAGCATCCCACACCATTGGTGTCGACGCAGTTCCCTCATTTACCTGCCAATAAGTCAGCATTGCCGGGGACACCCTCGCTGCCACTCCCTCCTCCCCCAGCCACTCAGACGATAGTTTCCAGCCCCCTGACTTCCTGCCCCCGGGCACTGAAAAAGTGATAGACAGTGGGATATGGTCCGACAGGCCACCAGGTAAGTAGGTATCCCCCGACACAATTCCCAACATGGTCTGGTTGGCAAACGCCATGTCTATCCGGGCCGAGGAGCCATGAACATAGGATAAATGAGAATAAGCCCTGGTGCCAGGGTGCTTCCACCGCCACACCTCCTCCACCATGGCCGTCTCGTCCCAGGATAGTAATTCAGTGCCGGAGGCCTTGCCGGGTTAGAGGAGTCCAGAGCGGAGTTAAGGATGTTGTTAAAATCCCCGGAGATGAGAACTGGCAGCGGAAGGTAGGGAGCCAATTTCTCTAGGATCGTATATAAAACCTGTACATTGAACGGCGGGGGCAGATAAACACTGACCACCGCCATCCGTGTAGCTTGGATATCAAGTACCACAATAGACTGTTTCCGCGCTTACCGGACCTAGAAGGCATATCCCCCCGCACCGGGCATCCACCGGAGATCGGGTAGGTAAGTCAGGAGCCGGTTCGCCAGGATTTACTCAGGATACAGGTCAGTATAACGGCGGAGCTCCCTCAGACACGTCCTCTCTGCCTCACATCCCGGCCACGCCCCCAAAATGCAATAAGTTTAAGTATCTGAATTTTATTTATATCGCCCCACTGCAATCCTCTGCCCAGCAGATTGGGAGTGGCAGGGCCAACACCAAGACAGTGGGGGTCTGGTGCAGGGCGGTCTGTCTAACATAGGGGACATACAGATAGGAGGAAAAGGCAGAGTGGTGGCTTCTATGTGCACCGATATCTCCTGCAAACAGGCTGGGATGCACTTGCACTGTTCTGGACCAAGCTACAATGTAGGGAGGGAACTCTGGATTACAAGACTGATTAAACAGAACTACACACAATTTGGCAGGTAAACAGCTCACATTTTTTTTTTCAGCTGCTTGATCAGAGTCCATCTTTAAATACCACATTATAGGCAGGTTCTTACGTAGGGCAGCAAGTATCCTACAGAAATTTACCGGATTGGCGAAGATCCCCCTCAAAACCCAGAGCACTCTAGCCAGCAAGCTTCGATACTTTGATAGTGTAAAAGGTGGTGGTCCGGAACTCCACACCACCCCTCCCTTGGCACAAACCATGGGCCTACCAAGGAGGTATTGGGTTGGCTTTCCACACAGTGTTGAAATTTGATAACAGTTCCCTAGGATTTGGGGGTCTTTTCAGATGTAAACATCTGTAGTTCAACTAGACTCCTGCTACCATTATTTTTCCTAGAAGTTCCTGAGCCAACTTCAGGGTCTGACATACCAATAGGCACTTAGAGAGTTACAGCAGTATGTTACAACATGCAAAAAGTAAAAATAGATAGGATAGATAGAATAGAATTTAAAGTGGGCAAAATATGACTTCAAAAAGTTCCATAAATTGATATTTATTGCAGGTTTGTTCACACAGGAAAGAACAGCTTGTATATAACAAAATTACTCAAGTGAGAAAGTATTTTTTTTAAATTGGCACACTTAAACATCTTGTACCCAATCAAGTTAGTACCTTGCCACATATCTGAAGATCCTTTAAACCAAAACAGGGGTAATGTTAAAAAGGAGAATTGCAGGGAGTATAAAAAATAATCAATAAATCTAAATAACCAATGGTTCTGTGCATTTTACTTTGTTTCAGAGTTGGCAAATGGATAAAACTGCTACTTCTTATCAATGTTATGTTAACGTTAACAGATTATGTTATTAAAAGGGCCCCTTGCATGTTCTTAAAGGAGAACTATGAGATGAGTGATTTCCACTCATCTCATAGTTCTAAGCCGACCTGTGACAATGAGACTGTCACAGGTCGGCTCAGTAGAACGGGAGGTGAGGCAACACATACCGGATTCCCTCACCTCTCGATCCTGTCACGGCTCTCTGCCGTGACAGGGGGAGGGGCTGCATTCCCCTCTCACCGATCCGATCTGCCAGCGCTGACTGGCGGAACGGACGGGGGAGGGGGCGGGTACAGCTGGCTCTGCCTCTAGATAGGCAGAGCCAGCTGTCACTCACACAGCTGGGCGGATCCCGTCAAAAGAGTCGTGATCCGTCCCGGCTGCGGCGTCTCAGTATACCGCGAGCTGTAGCTCGCGGTATACTGAGCTTAGGGTAACGGGAGGACGCTAGTTTGTGTCCTCCCGTTACCCTTTGGAGAACTATGGGGAAAAACACTGACCCCATAGTTCTCCTTTAATAAAGTGCCTTTCTAAGCCTAGGCAAAAGAACATATGGTCTCTGGCTACCAGGAGCATTGTGGGAGTTTTAAGTCATTAGAGACATACAGAGTCTACTTTGTTGATCAAACAGACCCAGCCTGGACGATAAGAGACTCCGCAAAGCACAATCAGTAGGCAAATCCTGCAAATGTAATAAAGAAATATAGCCAATCTCACATAAATACATACACCATAAAATCAAGGTTTTAAAACATTAACCCACACTCATGGATTTTTATTAAGCTAAACACTTTCGCACAGCACCTCTAAATGTGGCCTGCAGAATAACTTGTAGTGTCGGTTACAAATCAAATCCCAACATATATAAAAGCTACTAATTAGAACATGGATTGTAATGAGGCATGTATTGTAGGATGGAGCTGCTTTGTGTGTAATGGATAGTTTAATATTATAGTACACACAATGGCTTTCCTTTACAAGTACGGGTTTTTGGAGCTTTAGTTAATTTTCTCCAAGGTTTGTATTAAAAAACAAAAAACAAAACAGAAAGTAAAACGCATGTATCCATAATGTAGATCCTTGCTAGTCTCCATCTCTCTTGCCAGCTGAAAATTGTGCTGTCCTGACAAAATACCACACCTTCCTTTACATGCGTTACCCTCTTGAACAACCTTTTGGAAGTAACTGAATACCAAGCATTGTTCCAATACAAGGAGTGAAATGACTTACCTCTGCCCCAAACCAGAGCTGTCCAGCAAGATTATCATGACGAATTTCTTCTGGAAATTTGACACAAAAATCCCGGTTTGCTCGCTCATGTTGAATGCATTCCTCCATGATCTGGTTTATGATATTCAAAACATTATCCTAAGGACACAAGAGGAAAAAGGAAAAGAAATGAAACAAGATTCTTTTAAAATTAGGTTCCTCGTTAGTATCCTTTATTTGGAAAAACAAACATTTTAGATTAAATTAATTCATGAACCCCTCACATTATAAAAAGCACCTTTCCTTCAAGATGGCTCCTTATACACTGTGTGTCCAGATTACATAATTAGCTATAATTTCACGCTGGAGTTGCTAGAGGGCCAGACCATTATAAATAGGGAAGCAGGTTGTTTACCACGACAGTAGAAGTGATTTTTTTCTGAAGATACGGATAAAAAAACGCGATTTAACAGCCTGTGAACGTGGGATGATTGTTGGCGCACAAGCCATGGAGCGAGTACCAGCAAAACAGCAGAATTCGTTAAATGTTCAAGAGCAGCTGTTGTTAAAGTGTTTAAAGACTGGACTGTCAGCCGAAAATCTGGGTCTGTGGCCGTCAGCGACTAGTCAATGTTAGGGCAGAACGGAGAGTGGCAAGACTGGTACAAGACAACAGAAGGGCAACAGTGCCGTGTCAGATTCCTCGCATCACCTTTCAACATCTCGTGGAGTCATCTCGTGGCCCAACAAAGTCATCTCGTGGCCCAACGAAGTACTGATGGGGTGGTCATAATAATCTGGCCACTCAGTGTATTGTTATGCCAAGCAGCTGCGTGAACAGAAAAGGCCAAGTAGATCTGTACTAAACACATTGTAGAGGGATGGACAAACCATTTGAGCCAATTGCACAGCTACACAAGGACCCCATTGGAGCTTGCGGTCCATTTCTATTCGATACAAGTTGAGCGAGTGCTGGAATCCCCTCCTACATCATGTAGATGAGTGAAGGGGGTGCTCACTCTTAAATTGTAGTAAAGGCTACTTTTTCCTGTGTATATCCATCCATCCACAGCTAATAAGCATTGTTTTCTGACTAGCAACTTAATGGGAGCCAAAATCTGGACTTCTACCGAGGCCCTTTAGCAACTACAGATCAGAATGCATTTGTCGGTACCCTTACAGCTCATTAAAAATAATGGTTCATTACTCCTGAAAAGTGATGCAGTTAAAAGGAAAGGTCTCACGTATACCTGCATGACTTGGTATGTCAGAGTAAAGTAATAAAGTGTTAGGAAAAAAAGATTTGTTTATTCTACAATAGTATTCTAAAATGGCCAAGACAGATTTATTGGTAGCCCTAGAAAAGGTTATAAATAAATCGGATCATAAGGATATTCAATCACAGAAAACAATTAGTATCACGTCTTTAATCTTGTAATCAGTAGTCTACTCTGTTTGGTATCATCCTGTGCACCACACTGAATGAAGGCAAAGATCTGGAAGAAGATTATAAACCAGCATGTCAAAGGTAAATGCTACAAAGGCCATCTCCAAGCAGCTTGTTGTTCCAGTAACAGTTGCAAATATTCAGACGTTTAAGGTCTATGGGAGTGTAGCCAAACTCCCTGGATGCAGCCACAAGAGGTAAAAGCCAAGGAAAACGTCATAGAGATGCAAGCTGAACTCCATGGTCAATGAACATGTGTCTGATCGCACCGTCCGTCGCTTTTTGAGCTTAAAAGGAAAATGACCCAGGAGGACACCACTGTTGAAATAAAAACATAAACATAAAGCGGACAGACTGAAATTTGCTAAAATGCATATTGACAAGCCCAATGCTTCGGGTAGAATGTCCTTCTGACAATTGTGAGCAAGTCACTTTTGCTCTATGTTCACACACAGAAAACCCTTTGAAAGAAAAGAACTGTACCTATGGTGAAACATGAAAAAGGCTTGGTGTTGTTTTGGGGCTGCTCTGCTGCATCTGGCACAGGATGCCTTGAATCTGTACCAGGAAGAGAAAAAAAAATCTCAAAACTATCAAAACTATCAAGGAACCCTGTAGGGAAACATGCTCCCCAAAGTGAAAAAGCTCTGTCTCATACAGGGCATGGGTTCCTCAACAGGATAATGACCCAAAACACACAGCTGAACGCTTGCAAGAGTGGCTCAAAACATTGGAATATTCTGAAGTGGCCATCATTGACCTGATCTGAATCCTATTGAACATCTATGGAACAAGCTTAAACATGCAGCCGAGAGAAACTCTTCAAACTTGAGACAGCTGGAGCCATTTGCTCAAGAAGAGTTACCTGTTGGCAGACGCAGAAGTCTCACAGAGCTACAGAAAAAGATTGGTTTTCAGTGATTGCCTCTAAAGATTGTGCAACAAAATATTAGGTTAAGGGTCCCATCATTTTTGTCCGTGACAACATAGTCTGGTAAATTAAAAACCCCAAACCAAAGTCCGATTCTTATTAAACATAGAACAAATGATGGATGCCAATTACTTGTTAGTTAAGCTGCCAGTTTCAAGTTACATCATAGAAAATTGTGAGTTCCTGTTTTACGGAAGGGTACCAACACATTTGTCCGTGTCTGTCTGTCCTTCACTGACTCCCAGGCAGTAAAAACTGGGCTTTCTTTGACACCTTGATGCCTCACTGATCACTGGCACCTCCCACAGAGACTCCTGCCTCCAAACAAATGTGTCCTCCTGAAACAGGTTTAATCTCTATTCAAACATGTATGTTTATTAAAAATGTAACTTCAACCGTTGACCAACAAAGTTGATATTTTAGCTGTGCTTTGACTAATTATGACTACCACCCCCTCATCTCTCCAGGTACTTTCCTGAACAGCTGGCCATCCCCAGAAGACAGCCACATAATAAACCGAGCTGTCAAACAGGTAATCATATTTGAGATACAATCTGGAGAGAGCATCCATAATCAAACAATCCAAGCACTTTACAGCCTGTCTCATCAGAGAAATACATGCATTACATTGCTCACCGACTATGGCCGTAAATCTAAGTACTACCAGGAGTTAAAGATATTTTTAAATAACCAACTTTGTGTGTAAATTTTTACTGGATGGAGTTTGCGCTGAATAAATCAGCCAAGATGCGACGCCTGAAGAGCCATTTCCTGCAGTTATTGACTAATATAAAGATTTATCATCTGCAGCTCAGAGAAATGCAGATTACACGTATATTTAGCGATCCGTCCCCTGTATCTCGCCTCTGCGATGAAAGGAAGGAGATTTATTAGCATTGCAGAGTCTGCGGAAAGAAACGTTTGTAAAAAACATAAGAGTACATGTTGCAGAACAAAAAAAAGCACATTCTATAGCTCGTTAGACAGATAGTGAACCATGCCGCCAAGTTCACGGGTAACGAGGTTCCCATATAATTATCGCTTATTACAAATCACAGGGAGAAGCAGTAATTTCACATGTTAAGCAGTTCATCTTAATAGAAAAATACATCAGAACACAAAGGGCTACTGCAATTTAGCTGAACGGTGGACTTTTCCTGGACAATAAAAAATCTCAGTAAAACTAACCTCTCAGAATTTTAGCACAAAAGAAATGTGTACTTGGGTTATGATCCAATGAGAAGAGATTGGCTCTACACACTCCCTGGCAACTCTGAGAAAGCTGTATTTTTAAAGGGCACGTTCACTATTAAAATTTACATATGAGGTGCACAACTTCACGATATTAACAATTAGCTTCCCATTTCAAGCTGTAGTCAGTTTTAGGGCACATTCACACCACCTCCAGACCAGCAGCATTGTGCTGCTCTTTTCCTGGCTATCTGTAGGTCTTGCAGAGGTCCCCAGCAAGACCTAAAATTGAATGCGGCAAAACGCAACAAAAACAGTGCGTTCCAGATCTGGTCTAGAAAATGGTGTGAACCTGCCCTTAGGGCCATTAAACAGAAAATGCCAAAGGCCAAAAGTATGCAATATACTGCTGCTTTGTAAACATGGCAGTAAGGGGCTATCTGTAGAAAGACAACCACCAAAATTTGACTGCCTTTTTTCACCCTATTTACATTTTTATTCAAATTTTGGATACACCATAACAGAAACAAAATTCAATTAACAAGTAGAACACAAAAATTCATATAGCAAACCAAGGATCTCAACTTCTGCCATCCCAGGAGAAAAGTTGAGGACAAAGTTCTCGACCTCCCCTTTGTCCGTTTTTCCTCTGCACCTCATCAGATGTTTAGCATCCATATAAATGGTAGTCTACAGACCAGAGAAATGCTCGTCCAGCTAAGACAACGGACTCACAGTTGCCAGGTGTTGAAGTCAATGTGGGCACAACATGTAGAGTGGTGAAGAAGAGAGAAACACCAGAGAAAGTGAGTAGAAGAGGAAACGAGAAATTGTAAAGACGCTCAAAGAAAAGATGAGTGCATGCCAGAAAAAAAAAAAAAACGAGGGAGGGGAGACAAATTACAGAAAGGAAGTAAAGTAGGGTATACACAGTTAGAAATTCGATTGAATGAAATTGATTTTGGGACATTCAATCACCTTTCTAATCATTGGTGGGGTAAAAGTGGATGATCAATTTCGACCGCAGTGACGGAAAAAAAAAAAAAGGAGTATGTTACAATTTCGTTTGATCGAGATAAATTTTCCAACAGTAAATGTGGTTTTCTTTCGGGAAACTCCATTCATTCCAAAATAAAATGTTAAATGGAGACGGAAATCAAACAAAATTTAGATTGACAATCGCCAAGTCTCTGATGGTATTATAGACCGTACCGATGGGATTTTTTTGTACGAATGCTTGTTTGAAAATCTACCTGTGTATGCCTTGCTTAAAAAGGTAGGAAGCAAGGTCCAAAAAAGGCAAGGACTCCATGATCTGACCCAACCAAGCAGCAATCAAGGTCCACCAAGGTATTCACCTCAGCTGCAGGCCAGAAGGTAGCAAAATCTTAGTCTTCGGTCACATCACTTTCAGCTTTACACATGAAATTTGCCCAAGTCTGCTAGTCATGTGAGGTTATTAAACACCTGTCTCTTAAATCTTGGGGGTGTATCAACTGAAATAAATCAAGGAAATAATCTCTAAGCCACCTTCATAATTAGAATACAACAGTGGTCCTTGCTACTCAAGTGTGTGTGTGTGTGCGTGTG